CACCCTTCTCGGTGAGCCACCCCAGGCCCTCCTGACTCCTGAGGAGGCTCCCTATGCAGCTCTCAGCCCACCTTTCCTGGGGGTCTCTGTTTCTGAGAAGATTGCCCCAAGAAAAGATTCTGACCTACGAGGGAGGTAGGGAAGACCTGCTCTCCGGATCTGCTGGGCCCCAGGGGGCATCTGGTGTGTGGTTGGAAGGCTCCCTTCCCACACCCCCCTTCTCTGGGGCCCACGGCACAGGCCTGCACGTCTGCTGGTGAACCCTCAGCCACAGGGCCTGTGTTGACGCCCCCGAATCCAGGCTCCCAGCTCTGTGGCTCTTTGCTCCTGCAGGGAATCGACCCCCAGGACTGGCCCCCCTTGTTGGTCCTGGCTTCTGGGCTTTCTCCCCTTCTTGTTTTATTACTTCCCCCCCCCCCTAGTTACCAGGCCCTCCTGTCCCCTCTCAGCTCTCTCCCCCATTCTCTCCTTCCCAGGAAGGAACCCAGCGCGGCAGCCCCAGCAGGGGCTGGGGGTGTGGCTCCAGGCTCAGGGAACAACACAGGGGGTCCCAGCCTGCTGGTGCCACTTCCTGTGAACCCCCCCAGTTCTCCAACACCCAGCTTCAGCGAGGCCAAGACAGCCGGCACCTTGCTCAACGGACCCCCACAGTTCAGCACTGCCCCGGAGATCAAGGTGGGCCCCAAGGTGTATGTCCTGGCCCTGCCCCCCACCCTGTGTGGCTAGGGCTTCCTCTCCCCTGGGCCCGCTTGTCCTTTCTCTGACTCTGGCCCTACACCCTCGCCTGCTCTCTGGGCTCCTCCACCATCTTGCCCTCGGGGCCTCCACACTTTTGCTTCTGCTCCTAGTTGTACTTGCTCTCGTGCTCTCTGGGGTCCCCCCCATCATCTCTGTCCTCAGTCCTCACTCCACACACCCCACCATCCAGTTCACTGCTCTCCTTTACTGATGCCCGCTCTGGGCCTGGCCTCATGCTGGGTGAATCCACCCCTGTCCCACCTTCTGTGCTGGGAGCCACACGTGGCTGTAAGGGGGTGGGGGCAGAGGGTGCTGTGGACCCACGTCGGTGCCTCTGACTTGCCCTGGGGAGATGGCCCAGCAAGGCCTCCACACACAGATCTAAGTGTCTTTCCGGAATGGGAAAGACAAACCAGAAAGGAGAGGTTCGCCTGTGCCAGAGGTCGAGGAGGGGCTGATGTCAGTGCAGAGACTCCACAGAGAGGGGGAAAGGGAGTCCACTTGGCAGGAGGCGGTGCAGGCTGGCTGCAAGGCTGGGGTGGTGGGGGTCACAGGGAGGGCAGTGGGGTCCTCAGCGCCAGGGTCTGAAATGGGAACAGAGTGTAGAGTTGACGTTCTGGGCTGGTGCGTTTAACCTCAGTTACACAGAGGAAGAGTCCGGGACCAAGTCCCACACGGCCTTATGTACCTTCATCTGGAGAGTCCCCAAGTAAAGGGCCAGAGCCAGCACTCACACTTTGGAGGTACTCTGGACAGGAAATCCATCGAGTGAGCATCTTTCTGGAGAAAAGGGATCAGTGGCTTTGAGGGTGTCAAGAGGGGTCTGTAGCATTAAGAAAAACAAACACACTGTGTTTCGAGTAGAAAAAGGACCAGAGGATGTGGCTGGGAAGGGCCCTGTGGGGTCACTGGGAACGGGAGGGAGGGGCAGGGGAGGACAGGTGCCAGGCCTGGGGGAGTGGCAGGGGGGCTGTGGGTCGGGCCCCGCCCTGGGGGTGGTGTGGGGCCAGCCCGCCACTCCTCGACGTGCAGGTTTCAGGCCGGGAGGGCAGGTGCAGACCCCCGCCCCCACAGCAGCGCCCCCTGCAGTGCGCAGGTCACCCGCCCTCCCTGGGCGCCTCTGTCAGCGGATCCCCACCCCCGGCCGGTCTTTTCCCTCCAGCGCTAGAAGCCGCAGGGGACACCCTTCCCACTCGTGGCCTGTGCCCAGCGAGCCTGCTGCCACGTTGGCCAGTGTCGTACCAGCTCTCTCCTCTCCCCAGGCCCCCGAGCCTCTGAGCTCCCTCAAGTCCATGGCAGAGCGGGCAGCCATCAGCTCCGGCATTGAGGACCCTGTGCCAACACTGCACCTGACGGAGCGAGGTGAGGGCGGGGCCGGGGGCAGGGCAGCCCGGCAAGGAGCGGCAGGCCCCACGCCGGCCTCACCACCTGGCCCTGCCCTCCCCACAGACATCATCTTGAGTAGCACATCAGCTCCTCCAGCCTCAGCCCAGCCGCCCCTCCAGCTGTCGGAAGTGAATATCCCACTGTCACTGGGGGTGTGTCCACTGGGGCCTGTGCCCCTCACCAAGGAGCAGCTGTACCAGCAGGCCATGGAGGAGGCCGCCTGGCATCACATGCCCCACCCCTCAGACTCCGAGCGCATCCGGTGAGGGAGGGGCTGGCACCCTGCACTCGAGTGTGAGGGCGGTGGCCATGGTGGGGATCAGGTTCCCCGGCCCCGAGAGGTTAAGTGAAGCTTGCTGGTGGTCCTCCTCACTGCTGGGCACCTGACTTGGGACTGTCCCCGGGGCGGGGAGGGTGTCTCAGGAGTTCATTATTGGGGTGACCGGGTGCCCAAGAAGCTCTCACCTGTGTGCTGGGGGAGCTGGGCTTCCCCCTGCCCTCGAGACAGCAGGGACTGCTGGGCCCTGGAACTAGCCCTCCTGCTCCACAGGCAGTACCTCCCCCGGAACCCCTGCCCGACGCCCCCCTACCACCACCAGATGCCACCCCCACACTCGGACACCGTGGAGTTCTACCAGCGCCTGTCCACCGAGACGCTCTTCTTCATCTTCTACTATCTGGAGGTACAGCAGGGCCCCCGGGGCAGCCTCGGGCCCCCCGGCTTCGCCGCCACCGCCGCAGTCCCCCCTCGGGCTGGAGGGGTGAGGTGGGTGCCCCTCTGCGGCCCCCGGGACCGCACCCCCTCCCTGTCCTCCAGTCCTGTCCCACCCCGAGGCAAACCTGTCCCTGCCCCTACTTCAACACAGACATGTCCACGTCGGGGTTGGGGGCTAGGCTGGTCCCCTGCTGGGGAGTGGGGCCCCAGTTCAGTCTCCCCGGAGGCCCCTCTGCCCGACCCCAGGGAGTTGCCATAACCCTGCCCCCATCCCACGTTGGGGAACTCTCCAGGCTGCCTTCTCTCAGCTCCTCACGCATTAGTTTCTCTTCCTTCTCAAAGCCTCTCTGAAAGCCATTTCCTCCTCCTGACCAGCATTGGTATGTTCCGTGGCCCAGCCCACCCCCGTCCGCACCATCCAGCCCAGCCTCGGTCTTCGGCGGGGCCCGGGGGTGGCCCCAACGCCCTGTGCCCCTCGCCCCCCGGTTTGGGGGCCCCCTGACCCCCGCCTGCACCCTTCCTCCCCCAGGGCACGAAGGCACAGTATCTGGCCGCCAAGGCCCTGAAGAAGCAGTCGTGGCGGTTCCACACCAAGTACATGATGTGGTTCCAGCGGCACGAGGAGCCCAAGACCATCACCGACGAGTTTGAGCAGGTGAGGGCCCCCCCCTGTGCCCCGCTCTACCCGCAGGCCGGCACCGCTCCTGCACCCCCACCCGCCCCCGCCCCGTGGGCCCTCGGCTCCACCCAGGCCACTGTCCTCTTCATCCTGCACACGGCCAGGCCAGCTCACCATCCCAGGGCGGGGAGGGGGGGGTCCAGCCCCGCCTCCATGCCTCAGCCGGGCCCCTACTCAGACGCGGGCGCGGCTTCTCCCACCTTCGACAGGGTCTGCTTCACGCAGGGCCCTCGACTGTCGGTCTCCTTTCCCTCCTGCCTCCCCCGCCCCGAGCAGGGGCCTCACCAGCAAACACGCACGGGGCCCTCCCGGTGTTCTGGTACCTGGGGCCGCCCCCACTTGCACAACACGCTGGGGTAGACTCCGTTTGAACCGCTCTCCATTTCCTTACACGTAAAAACGGGGTAACGCACCCACGTCTCGCAGTTGTTCTGAGGATTAAATGAATGAATGATCTCTAAGTACCTAACGGTGCCTGCTCCGTAGGAAGTACCACGGGTGTACTTTGTTTCAAGTAACTTAAAGGCCATGTTCCACTGCTTACTTCCACCACATCTTTGTTTGATGCCAAGTATTGACAGGATCCTTGTCCTCAAACTCAGTCCCCCCTTCTGCCCCCCGTTCTTTGAGCATTTCAGACCTTCTTTTAGAACCACCCCCCCCTCAATGTCTCTGACACAGACCAGACTTACTGTCCCATCCTGGTTTGGCCCCCACTAATCATCCAGGTACCTTTCAAGGCATTGATCCTTCAGAAATACCCCACCCCCAGCACTGTCACCAATAAAACGTCTGTCTCGACAGCGTGCCTGGATGTGGACTCAGCCTGTTCTCTAGGACGGGGCACAGCTGCGGGGGTGGCGAAGACAAGAGGCTAGGACAGGCCTGGGGCAGCGGGCGCCAGCTCAGTGCTCCAGCCACAGCTGGGAGAGGGCGCAGCTCACCTGCAAACGTGGCTGAGGCTCTGGTGCACAGCCTCTCGGGCCTCCTTTCCTCTAAAGGGGCAGGATCACCTTTCCCGCCTGAGAAGAGGCTGGAGGGGAAATGGCTGACGCAGGCAGGGCTGTGGGCCCCGTGCCTCGTACGTCCATGGCCCTGAGATCTGTCCCCTAGGTCTGTCGGTCCAGCTCAGGTGTCCGGCCACCGCCACGTCCACTCACTGATCACCTTCTCCCCCGGCCAGGGCACCTACATCTACTTTGACTACGAGAAGTGGGGCCAGCGGAAGAAGGAAGGCTTCACCTTTGAGTACCGCTACCTGGAGGACCGGGACCTCCAGTGACACCGGCCCCCCTCCACCCTCCCCTGCCCCCCGCATGCTAATCCCCCTGCCCAGGTGAGGGCCCTGCCCTGGGAGACCGGGGGAGGCCCCAGGCCATGGGGCAGCCCTCGCCCCCAGGAAGCAGCCCCGCCTGGGGGCCCGGGGGGCGAGGGCTGCCCCCTCCTCCCCTCCCCAGTGAGGGACATTTTTTGGTAAACCTATTTTCATTTTGGAAAATATTTATGAATAAATAGTTTTATATGACGGCTGGCAGCTGCGGCCTCTCCTATCCCCCCAGGAGTCCGTGAGCACTTGGGTCTTGCTGGCAGGGCGCCGGGCCCACTGGGGGTTGAACTGGGAGTTGTACCGCCCCCGCCGTTCGTCCATCTCCTCTGCAGGCTGGTCCTCCGGGGGGGCCGTGCCGCGCACTCGGGCCAGGAGAGCCTCCGCACGAGCCCGCTCGCTCGCTTCCCGCCGGAGACGTTCGGCTAGAAGCTGGTCCAGGGATGGTCGTCTGGGGGGCACCAGAGTCGGGGTTAAAAAGCTCCTAAACCCTGGAGGCCCACCCCACCAAGGAGGAGCTGCCGCCTGGACCTCCCGCCTGCAGCTCCCACCACCCCCATCTGTAACAGCAGGAGGGGCACCCCCAGGGCCTCAGTTTCCCCTTCTATAGAAGACCAGGAGACCATACGCCAGCTCCACGCTCAGCGGTTTGTCCTCCAAGGGACACAAACCTGCTTAGTGACCCCACGGTTCTCAAACTGGTCTCAATGACCCCAGAAAGCTTGCTGTGTCCAGGGGTTTTATCTGTTACCATTTAGCACAGGAGCAAAAAAAAAAAAAAAAAGTCCTGAAAACAAGTCCACGTCCCTCAGGCTCTCCCAGCAGTGTCTCCCCGGAAGCCACTGTACACTCAACTGAAAGTTCAATGCCTCTGCAGACCCTGGACAGGGTGTCAGAGCCACCGCTGCCCAGCCAGCCCCGCCCCCAGCGCCCACGTGCCCGCCCAGCTTGCTTACGCTTCAGGCCGCTGCTTCTCCGGCCGCTCCTTTCCCTCTCTATTTCTGCCGTGACCAACACTGTCCCCGTCCTCACTGTGCCGCCGCTTCTTCAAATGCTTCTGCATCTCCCGCAGGGGGTCCAGGCGCTTCTTGATCTTTTCATCTGGACCTGGGCCAGGTGGAGGTGCCCCTCGTCCTGGGGGGAGCTGGTACCAAGGCGGTTGGGTCTGGGCTTCTGCTGCACTCTGGCCGAGGTATGTCAGGATACCCAGAGCTTTCTCCTGCCTCTCCTGAGGGGACAGAAAATAGGGAGGCGCGGACGTCGAGTAGGTCTCCCTGCAGGGAGCCCTAAGTGGGGCACCAGGACACCCCAGGCTCACGGCAAGGCAGAACCAGATTAGCCAACAGGTGCTGGAGGACTGTCACAAGACCGCTCTGTCCAAAGGACACAAAAGGCCAGCACAGGTGGGGCTCGTGCCCTGAGCACAAGGGCAGGTTTGGTCACCGCCCAGAAGGAAAGGACGGGGTGGGCGCTGCTGTAGGGTTCAAAGGCAGGCATCTTTGAGGATATAACTTGAAGACAAAGCAGCAAGCAAGGCGCAAAGGAGGGAGGCCAGTTCAGTGTTCGGTGGGAATCCCCGAGTGCGGGCGTGACCGGATAGGACTTACACTGAGCTGGACGCTTCCCAAACCCGACAGGGCCTGCACATCAGGCCGATGGGTCTGCAACTAGCAGCCACTCCCAAGCCCGTGCAGGCTTGGATGGCAATAAATCACAGCACTTCTGAGTGCTAGGTTCCAGGGCTCCTCTCAGGCCTCTAGATCAGCTCACTTAATTCCCCACGCTCCCTCTATACTCCTGTCAGTCACGGGAGGACAGCCGCCCTGGCTCCACCCATCACACATTAGGTGGGAGGCCAGCTTACTTTCTCCTGTCGCTTTTCTTCCTCGTACTCTTTGTTGCCTCTGGTCACCCCTTTCCCTTCTTCCAGCAGCTCCCGGAACAGGTCCACAGGGCCAGGAGTCAGGGCTGCTGCCTCTGCTGCTTCCAGCTCAGGTAGCGAGTTCTGACGCCTGGCTTTCTTCCGTAGGAATTCTGTGCGGGCCTGGGGAAGAGACAATCACAGGCACAACATTCAGAACCTAGATGTGATTCACACAGCTGTGATGCTGGACCACAGAAAACCACTGTCGTCAGTGCTTGGGGGGTGGTCAGAAGAGGCACCTGTCCCAGCCTGCAGAGAGGGTAGGGGGATGCAGGACACCTGGGCTTATAAGCGGCCTCCTTCCCCAACAGTTAACTGGCAGGGCTCCAAGTCTCAGGTGGAGATAAACAGCCCAAAGTACGCGAACAGGAGATCTGGATTACAGGCTGGGCTGCATCTGAGACGACGTGCAATCTCTGCCGGTAAGTGAATTTTAAGGGGCGCTTGGGTGGCTCAGTCGGTTAAGCGTCGGCTGGCATCTCACAGTTTGTGGGTTTGAGCCTCCTGTCCGGCTCTGAGCTAACCGCTCAGAGCCTGGAGCCTGCCTTGGACTCTATGTCTCCCTCTCTGCCCCTTCCCCACTCGCACTCTTTCTCTCAAAAATAAATATTTAAAAAGTTTTAATAGAAGGGAGTTTTAAAAGCCCAGACCACCCTGCAGCCGAGCGTTGAGAATCAGATCCACTAAAGAACAAAACTACGTCCAAACTGGAGGTTAGAAATTACACGGAAAGCCCCTGGAGCGGGGAGTGCAGGGAGAGGGCTCACCCAAGAGCGGAACTGCCGTGTCCCACTGTCCCTTCCCTTCTGAAGCCATCCCTCTTCTCTGCATAATGAAGAGGAGGGGGCCCCTCTAGGTGTTGAGACTGCAGGTCAAGTGCTTTGCACGGGGTGATACAGTAGACATGCAACAGGGAGGTTGTGCAAGCAAACTAGTCCGAGTTTCCTTAAACTGCTCATCATTTTCTCACAAGCCGCTAGTTTGTGCCAGGCACTCTCCATCCTCGCGAAAGACACGAGTGGGGGAAACCGGGACAGGGCAGAGGCCTACGCGGGTCCTGCACAGGTGGGCACACGCCTCCAGCGGCGCCCAGACCCTCCTGGCTCACGGGACACATCGCGCCTGCGCGCCACACCCGCTTCCGCCCCCCCCCCCGGCGCCTGCGCACTCAGCCCGGGAGGCCCCTTCGGCTGCGCTCGGGGCTTACCTCCTGCTGAGCGAGCAGCACCCTCCGCTCACGCTCTTTCTCCTCCTCCCGGGCCTGAGCCTCGTCACGCCGCACGCGGGCGACATTGTCCTTGTTCCGGACGTGCCAGCTCTTCTTGGGCAAGATATTCATGGCGTCGTAGCCGGTCACCGACTGCCAGGCCCGCCTCCGAGCACTTCCTATTGGCGAGAGAGTGCTCCTCCCTGTTGTTCCGGCTTTAAGCCACGGATTGGTCCTGGGCTGATTGTCACGCCCCTCCAGGCCCTTGACAAAGGCTGATTGGCTGAGATGTCCGAATTTGGGTTGGCGTAGCCTAGCGACCACCTCGCATCAAGGTTCTGAGCCAATCAGGTGCCCCCACCCAAGCTTACCGGACGCGGCCACTGATTGGCTGGTATGCCTGTCAAGTCTTCTCGAGGCCAATACACTTGATCCGCTTGTGTCCGACTCCTCCCCCCACCTCCCCGCCGCGTTTCAGGATGCGATTTACAAAGAACGGTCTGCAAGCTAAGCTGTCTTTATTGAAAGAAGACAGACATTCACTGGAGTCTAAGGGTGGGGCAGCTTCAGGGTCCTGGAAATCTCTGAATCCCACGGCTGTAAGGGCGTGGGTTTTTCTCCACTTTTTCCATTTTACAGGCGAGGTGCCGCGGACTTACAAAGGGTCTGGGAGCGCAGGTCTGAGTCAGAAAGTGGGACATCGTTCTGAGCAAGGCTAGGGGAGGTCAAAGAGCTCCGTTGGCCGCGCTCAGTGCCACGGCGCGCTGTGCCAGGAAGACCTTATTCTGCGCCTCCTAGGTAAAGGGTAAAGAGAGGTAGGGTGAAACAGGCCCCTCTCCCCACTGTTTCCTCCCATATGCAGGACCCATTCCCAGGAACCCAGTTTGGCTCACCGTCTCTATCTGGCGTTTGAGCTCAGAGATAAGACGTCCATAGGAGTTAGCCAAGACCAAGGTATACACCATCAGGAGGCTAGAGGAGACAGAAATGGAAGTCACACCCACAACGCTCTTAGACCATCTTCAAGGTATGGCCCCTTAGAAACCAAGGACCTGAACCCCCAGCCCGTGCCTCCCTCAGACCCAGGAGTTCAGGCCCCATCCTGTCCTCCCTAGACTCAGGAATTTGGGTCCCCGGCCCCTTCTTCTCTTAGAAACAGGAGGGGGGGGGAGTCCCAGATCACACAAACTCAGACCTAGGAGTCTGGACCCCTCTCACCTGGAGATCAACAAGAGAGGCACAGCAAAAGCCTGGGTCCCCAGGAAAAAGAGAAAGTTCTGGGTGATGCGAGGAAGTCTGGAAATAGACTCCGGGATCTTGGCCCAGATGGACGGCTGACCTCGGAATGGACCACACAGCTTAGAAGGTGGGATCCTGAAGAAGTCAGAGACAGACAGTCCTCAAGTATGGCCAAAATTCAGAATCCTGGACGACGGCGGAGGGATGGAGGGATGGAGGGGGGTAGAGGCAGGCACCTCTCACACTTACAAGAAGATGCTGTAAAGCACGGGAACAGCGGAGATGGCCAGACCCAGGAGAAGGACCAAGGGGAAAAAGAAGTTCACTGTGGAGGCCCGAAAGGTGCGGGAGGCCGGAGAGCAGGTGAAGAAAAGTGTGAACTGCGGCGAGGAGGAGGAAATTTGAGACATAAGAATCTGAGCCCTAGCCTGTCCTTTTTCACCATCCAGAAGTCCGGGTCCCCTGATACCCGCCCCCCCCCCCCCCAAGTCAGGAACTAGAAGTGCCTAGACCTTTGCTGCCATCAGACCCAGGAAACCGGGTCCCTTCCCTCGGACTGAAAAGATGCGCTAGACCCCTTCTCCCGCATCCAGAAGTCTGTCCTCCAGACCCCCCCTCTCTCAGGATGGAGTAGCTGGGAACACTCGCAACCCCACTCCCCCAGGACCCAGAAGTCCGCCACACTCCTCACCTTCTTGAAATAGAAAAGTAGCAGGAACTTGACCGTGTTGATCATGGGTAGTAGAGGGCAGAAAAAACTGCCTACCCAGACCACGGTCTGCGCGTAGATGAGCCCCAGCACCTCGTCAGGCACCTGAAACTCCTGGGTTCCCACCGTGCGTCCCAGCGCGCCGGGACAGAAGCCACAGAACAGCCTGAGGGGCGGGGCGGGGCCGAGTCAGAGGCGCGGCGCCCGAGTCGCCCCGCCTCCACCGCGCCACACACCAATCAGAAGTGAGCAAGTCTGAGCGAGGTGGAGCTTTCACAGGCCTGGAGGGAGTGTGCGCGCAGGCGCGGGCCTGAGGGTGGACGTAGGGGCGGGGCCAGAGGGAAGCAACTAGGAAACAAGGGGGCGTGGCCTGCGGGTTGGGCCGCCGTGGGAGGGGCGGGGCTACTGCGCGGGGCGGAGCTCTCACTTTCGAGGAAACTGGATGAGCAGCATGACAGCCAGACCAGTCAGCAGATCAAAGAGCAGGAGTTTGTACATTTCCTGCCCCAGCCGAGTCTCCCAACACTGAGGAAGGAAGTCCTGGGTCAGAAAGATCTCAGGACTCAGGCAGATAAGGACCAAGAACCCAAGTCTCCAAATCGCAAGTGTGAGATCCTTACTATCCTTTCTCTGGGGTTCCTCCGATTTCTCCATCCCTACCCCTGTCCTCAAGAGGAGGGGTGTTCCAGCACCTAAACCTGATGTTTGGACCCACCCAGCTTCTCCTCTCCTTCAGGGACCCAGGATTTGGGGTGTTCCTCCTTCCATCTCACCGGTAGCTCTTTGTAATTGTAGCCGCAGGTTTTGCACTCCTCGGCCTCGGCATTGCCCCCGCAAGTGATCTGATTCCAGAGAGAGAAGAGCAAGACCAGCAGGGAGGCCAGGCGGAGAAACACGGTCCTGGCGGAGAAGGGGGGGAGGGGCGGGGAAGGGTAAGAAAGGGGGATCAGCACTGACCAGTGCTCACTACGCGCTGGGCCCCTCCGGTGCGGGACACACAATTCTCCCCACTTCAAAGAAGAAGAAACCGAGGCTCTGTGAGCAAGAGTCAGGATCTGAATACAGATCTCACCGGGCCCCACATCCTGGAGATTTCTGTGCCTTATGAACTGCAGCCAGTGCCCTTCAGACCAGGCCGTGCCACCATCCCCCGCCCACCCCCAAAGGCTAGAACCTGAGCAGGATAAAAACAATTTGGCGGCTCCTGGTGTAGCCCTCCAGCGGGGCAATGAGGTTGAACACAGGGGGCAGCAAGAAGTTGACGCCAGAGATGAAGATGGACGGAAGGTAATCCACCCCTAGCTTCACCAGTGGCACTTGCTGGACAAGGGGCAGCTCCTGGGGGAGAGGGTGGACCAAGCAAAGAGGTTCGGGAGGAAGGTCCTCCCCCAGCACCCCGAAGTCCGAACATACACCCCATTCCTCCTAAGATCGCAGGAATTCTAGACTTCAGTGCCCTCCAACCTTGGATAATGGGATTCCAGGCCCGCAGGAGCCCCTCCCCCAGGGCCCTCCGCACCTGCAGCTCCACGGTGGCTCCCGTAGCCCAGTAGACTCCGTAGAAGGCCGCCCCCAGGAGGGCAAGCACCAGCAGATTGAGCAGGACCCGCACCGACCACACCTTGGCTTGCTGGCCCAGGGTCCGCACTGCAGCTCGGCGCCGCACCACGGCTTCCTCCAGCTCCACCTGAGGCCAGGAAAGACGTCCATTTGGCTCAGTTCCCCCCAGGCCGGGCCAGGGGTCCAGAGCCCCTGCTCAGCGCTGCCCAAGGGCTTCTACAACCCTGGTCCCAGCCCCTCCGTGGTCCTCCACGTGACCGTTTAGCTATCCTGGCCCCGCCCTCCCGGAGTCTCCCTCCAGCACCCACAGGACACGCCCCAGCACCCCTCGCCCCGCCCCTCCGAGGCCCCGCCCAGCACTCACGCCCAGTGCCCACTTCAAGTCGCTTCTAGTTCCAGGACCTGTATCGTACCCCGGGGAGCTTCGGGCGCCGGCCCCTTCCTGCTGCTGGGTTTTTCCTGTGCCCTTTGACCTCAGGTATCCCTATTGTGGTCTCTTCCCAGCCCTCTCCTTTCCCAAGGCCCGCCTCCTCGGAAGAAAGCTCCACCCAGCATCTCTCGGGGAGCCCCTTCCCTGGTCGCGGCCCCGCCCCCTCTGGTCCCTCGGTGGCTGTAGACCTGGACGCGCACCTGCAGCTCGTATCGGATGATGCGCTGGCGCAGCCGCACGTGGACATCCCCACGAAGGCCGAAGTCCCAGGCAGAGAACACCCGGTGGCTGTAGCTGGTCAGGGTCCCGGACTCAGCCAACAACGTCTGTTTCAGTCCTGACATGGAGCTAAGGGAGGGAAGAGCCAGGAGACAGAATGTGGGAGGTCAGCCCCCCAACCCCCCCCCCTTATGGGACAAACAGGGAAGACGAACCCTAGGACCTCGGGCATTTGGCGAGCTGCTACCTAGCAGAGAGAGAGTCAGAGATGCAGACACATGGAGCCTAAGACCGAGAGAGAGATTCAGGGGCAGACTCGGGAACATAGACACTGGAGACAGAGAAGCACAGAAACCCAGTAGACAGAGACAGAGTTCCAGAGAGTAGGGGACAGGAACCCAGAGTGAGACAAAGACCCTGGGGACAGAAATTTAGAGGGGATACAGAGACCCTAAAGGGGACAGATTCAGAGAAAGGGGGACAGTGAAACAGGGAGAAAGAAATCTAGAGAGAGGAGTCAGAGACTCAGAGGTAAGGACAAACGTCCAGAGAACGGGGTTGGGGGAGAAGGACCCAGAAGAGAAAGACAGAGACTCAAATAAGCGGGACAAAGTCCAGAGAAAACTGGACCAGGAGGCTCGGTACCCCACTCACTGCTCCCACGCGACCCCCAGCTCCCCTTCAGTGGGCACTTATGGAGGACTGACTCCCGGTCTCTCTGCTTCCACCTGGGCCCTCTTGAATCCATTCTGTTCTTGGGCCCGTGGAACCTTCTTTATATGCAGATGGACTAGGCCTGCTCTCTAAAACCTATTCCACAGCTTCTCCTTGTTCTTGATGTTTAGGCTCCTTAATCCCACAGCCAGCCAGCGTGCCCTGATCTAGCCCCCGCCTGCTTGTTGAAGCTCAAATCCAGTCCCTACTCCTCCCCCCCCCATGACCTTTCATTTCTCAGAAAATTCCAAACGTCTTCTCACCACAGAGCCTTTGCACTTGCAGTTGCCCCTGCCCAGAATGTCCAGGTCTCTGCTGCTCACCCGG